ACGTGGTTCACAAGCGAGTCGGACACCCAAGCGAGTCGGACACTTTTCGACGCGACGCGTCGCGTTAACTTTCCACCCAAACATTTCGACACTTACGCAATGGATTCGCAATCCAAAAAGTCCAAAATAATCCTTACTTTGCTGGCAATTAAAAATGATCCGAAAATTAGCCTGCGTGCTGCAGCAAAGCTTTATAATGTTCCCATTTTTACATTAAGCGACCGACGCCGCGGTAAACCTATTCGATGCGATAGCATGCCCAATTTCCGGAAATTAATAAAGTCCGAAAAGGAAGCGCTTATTAAATACATATTCGAGCTAAATTCCCGCGCATTTTTTTCCTGGCCTTTTGGTATTAAAAATATGGCTAACCGATTGCTTACCGAGCGCAACGCGGGCACCGTTGGCAAAAATTAGGTCGCGAATTTCGTTAAACGCTGCGCAAAGCTCGGTACGCGTTGGATTTGAAAGTACGATTATTAAAAGGCTAAATGCGAAAATCCCAAGCTCGTTTTTGCGTGGTTTAATTTTGTACGGAATATTATGGCCAAATATAGCATTTTAAATAATAACATTTATAATTTTAACGAAACCGGCTTTTTTATGGGCATAATCGCCGCCGTTATGGTTATTATAACGTTAAAAAGCCGTAGCAAAGCAAAGCTAATTTAATTTAGCAACCGGAAATGGGTTATAATTACCCAAAAGGTTAATTGTTGCGGTTGGGCGGTTTTTTTTTATTATTGTTAAAAGGCAATACCATTTAGCCAATTGGTATTTAAACCCCGATTTTTTACGCAATTGGGTTATTGCAATAAGTGCTAACGGGTAAATTACGAACGAATTTGGCCTAAAATGGATTCGGCATTTCGATAAACATATTGCGTTGCGCGCAAAAGGCTTTTATCGTTTGTTAGTGCTGGACGGATACGAAAGCCATTATTTAACGAATTTCGAGCTTTATTGCCAAAAATATAACATTGTTACGATTTGCATGCTTTCGCATTCGTTTTACTTTTTTTAACCGCTTAATATTAAATGCTTTGGCTTAATAAAGCGGGCGTACGGTTAACAAATCGAAATTTTAATAAAATTATACGTTAATTATATTACCAAAGTCGAATTTTTTTCGGCGTTTAAAGCGGCATTTTTTAACTTTATAATTAAAATAAACATTTAAAAAAGTTTTCGAAAGGTTAGCTTTATTCCTTTTAATCCGGATTCGGTTTTAAAAAAGTTGGATGTAAAGCTACGAATTCCAATTCCCCCAAAAACGCCTTTAAACGACCCCGAACCTTGGATTTCCAAAACGCCCCGGATAGCCAAAAAAGCAATTTCGCAATCCAAGCACATTAAAATTCGGATTTCCAATTACCGAAATAGCTTTCCGATATTTATGCTAGCGGTTATAAACCAGTTTGTAAAAAGAACAAGTTCGATTATGCATTAAATGGCCTTTTTAAAAGCCAAAGTTGCTTCGCTACGCAAAGCGAACAAAGCATTAAACAAACGCTAAAAGGCCAAAAAAATACGTATTCGATAAGGAAGGTTATTTACTATTAAAAAGGTACGAAATGTGCTAAACCAAAAAGCGCTGGATAAATAATTACAGCAAAAAATGCGCGATTAAGGGGTTTTGGAAAGGAAAGCGCCGACGGTTCGTCGGCGCTATGGTACTTGCAGCAAAACCGGACATAACGCGCGCACTTATTAGGAAAAAGTAAAAATGTCCGATGTATACAGTTCCGAATAGTTTGAATGGATTTTTGGCGTTGTTGGGTTGGTATGCGCGTCGATTAATTGGAGGTCGCGTTTAGGTGTCCGATTTGCTTGGGTGTCCGACTTGCTTGTAAACCACGTTATCCTTTTTTCGCCGTTCTTTTTTAGAATAAATAAGATTCCGTGTTTTACAAATAAGTTGGAAGGCCGGATAGTGCCTTTTTCCAAATCCTTTTGGAATTGCTTTTTTAACTTTTTTTATTGCCGTAAGTTTAACCGGTACAACTTTTGGTACTTTAACTTTGCTTTTGGTTTAAACTTAATTTCGTAATTAAACGGCCCGTATTCCGGAAGGCCAATTTCTAGGTCTTTTTGAAACAATTTCCAATACCGGTAATATTCCAAAAGTACTTTCGTTAAATGCTATAGCGCTTTATTGGGTATACCGCTAAGTTGCGTCGTGTTTTCCCCGGGTAAATGCCGAAGGGTGCTGCTTTGCTTTGTTTCCGTCGAAACGCTTTCGTTTAGCTTTATCTTTTTATTGCTTGCGGCTTATAATTAATAAGCTTCGCTAGTAATTAATAAAAGCTTTTACTGGATTTGGTTGGTTGCTTAATTTATTTTCGGGTTTTGCTTTTTTAACCAAAAAATTCCAAAAACCAAATTTTGTTTTCCCGTTGGTAGCACGTCCAATTTAACTTAAAACTTTCGTTAGTAGCAACGGAAATTAAAATAATTAATTTCCGTATTAATCCATCCGTTGTTGTAATTAACGGGTTCCCGTTTAATTGTGCTTAAAGCATATGGCTTGTCCTTTTTACGTATAGGAATGCCATATTGCTGCATTGTTCGTGGCGATATGTAATTGCTTTGGGCTTTGCTATCGATTATAACCTTAAGCTTGTAATTCCCTTACCGTACTTTAAGGTATAGGTATTTTTCCATAGGGTCGATCGTAACCGCTAAGGTTTTTATTGCTTGTTATTGTCCTTTTTGTAGCTTTGTAATAAATGGACTCCTTAGTTTTTTGTTTTGGGTCCGACAAATTGCTCCCAAAGTTGAAAAGGGCTTTGCTGCCTTTCCTTCGGCTTTCTTTAAAGTGTAATAAAACTTACGTTTTTTTCGTCGAATTTATCGGGTTAATAAAAGTATCGGAAACCCCATTGCCATGCCTTTGCTTTTTGTTGCATGTAAATTCGGCAATTTTCGTTTTTGCATTAGGTTTATTTTAAAATACCGGTAGCGCAAAGCATGGGGTAACGTACGCTAAGGGCGAAAACCGCTATTTCGCCGTACTAATTCCAAATTTCCCATTTGGGCAATTGTTAAGCCAATCGTAGCCTTTTGCTAGCCCTTTGTGCTAGGGCTTGTGGAAAAAAGTTGTACTTAAATTTGTTGCGTAAATGGATTAAGCAATTAACGTGCTAGCATTTGGCCCAAAACAACCATAAGTAACTTTGGTATTTTAACGTTTTGCTGGGGTGGTTTTTAGCGCGTAAGCGGCTTTATAGCCGTACTTTCCAAAGTTATTCGTACGCTCGCTTTTTTGTTAATCCTTAATAACGTATTAACTATTTATCCTTAAACTAGCTTAGCAATTTCCCATTATCGTTGTTAACTAGTATTGCGTTGGACGTTAAAGTAATAAAACCCTTTTTTAAAAATGTAATGTTCCAAAAGGTTGCGCTAATTTAAGCCTTTGTTTAAGCTTGTTCGGTTTAATGGAATACCTTTTTGTTTGGCACTAACTTAGCAAAAAATTCCCTTTGGTTTTTGCCGCCTTTTTGCCGTAAGCCTTCCCATGCAAATATTGCATTGGGGTTTTATCCTTTTTCCTTTTGGGGCTATGCTTTGGCTTGTTTCCAAAACTTTTAGAAATTAACGTTTGGTGCGCGCTTAACGCTATACTTTCGCTCGTACTTTTTGCGGTAAGCAATACGAACAGTTTTTTTGCAAAATGTGTATCTTTCGGGCGTAGCGTTAAAAGCTGCTATTGCTTCCGTCCTTACCGTTACCGTTAAACTCGCTGTTTTCGAACGCAATCCGTCCGTATAATCTTTTTTGTACCCAAGCTTTAGTAAGCTTTAGGAAGGCAAAATTAAGGTTTTGGAAAAATTTTACCATATTTTTTATAATGGGTTTATTGCCTTTTTCGTTGCTGCTTTTTGGTTTTTAAAAGTTGGAACCCGAGCTTGGTTTAACCTTTAAATTCGGGCTATCCCGTTGCTGCGCCGCGCTGCTAGCGGCGTTTTCCGGAGCTAACGTATCCAAAATCCTTTTTTCCATTTCGGCGGTTTGGATTATTTCTTTTTAAATAAGCCCGCCGTATTTTTCCGGATTGCTTTGGATTTGTTTGTTAATTTAAGCTTGGTTGTCCTTTTTTTTCGTTTCGAATTCCGGAAAGGGGTTGTTTTTTTGGTTATGGCTAGGCGCTTGCGGGGGTACTACCCCGTAGCGTTTTTGTTGGACTGGTAGGTAGCGCAATTGTTGTTGCTGCAAGCGGTTTAGGAAAACGTGGAACCGGGGCAATTGCTATCCTCCGGTTTGGTGGGTTTTTTCCGGGTTGCCGCTGTTTGTCGGGCTTTGTTTTCCTATTTAACCACTTTCCTTTGCTTTTGTTGTTTAGGGCAATTTTGCTTAATATGTTTTGGTTTGCTACATTTAAAGCACTTTCCGTCCTTAAAGCTTTGGAATTTGCGCTTTCCACTTTTTTGGTGCGTAGCATTTGCGCTAAAATCCATGGGGCTTAAGTAAAAACCCTAAGTTATGGTTTTATTGCGGTTAAACCGTTGCTGCAATCGGTTGCTATTTATTACAAGCTTGGTTTTTTGGCTTTTTTTTTCCAAGCAACGCTTATACAAGCGGTTGTTAATCCGGATTGCAAAGGTAACGTAATCGGTAAAAAGGTTGGGTTTTTTTATTTTGGAAACCTCGTTTTTTACGTTATTTCGGAATCCGTTGTAAAAATGGGCGATTTTGGTCGCGTCGGTTTAGTTAAGCTTGTTAATAAAGCGTTAAAATTCGGAAACGTATACCGAAACCGCGCCTTTTTGTCGGAACTAAAGCAATTTTCGTTCCGTTACTTTCTTTTCGTTAACTTAACCAAAAACGTTAATTACTTTTTTTTTAAAACGGCTAAAGCTAGCAAAAATAATCTGGGTTTTTTTATGGCTTTTGTCGTATTTTTTAAGGAAATTTGCTTATACGGGCTCGAATTATTCCTTAACTTTGCTTTTAAAGCGGGTAGTTACGTAAGCAACTTTTTGCTTTTTAATGTTAAATTAAGCTTGGTAAAAGGCAAAATAACTTCGACATTTTGTAAGGAAAGCTTTAAAGGCGCTTTCCTTTCCGTTGTACCGGTTAGGGGTTAAAAACTTGTAAGCCCTAACCGCCGTATATAAAACGCTGGCCCGTTTTTTCCACACGGTAATTTCCTTAACGAAAGCTTCGAAAGCGAGTTTGGTATGCATTGCGTCGCTTATATCGTACTTTATGCTTCCGTACCGGAACGTTTCTTTTCCCGCGGTAACCGCGGCAAACGTAGTGGCAGGTCCGGTCGTGGTCGCCATTGCTACTGCTCGGTACCGGTCCGGGTGCTAAATAGGATTAGTTAAAATGTTACAACCAGGCTTTTGCTTTTAAAGTAAAGCATTAAAGGAATATTAAATAGTAACACGTAATTTAATAATTGAAAGGGATTTATAGGATAATTTGGGTGCGGCTTGAATGCTTGCTCCAAAGGTTACTTAAAAGCTAATTTAAATTAATTAATGCTAAAGCTTTAATTAAAAACTATTTAGGATAGTAAAAAACCTTCCCTTTTTATATCCTTTTTTAAACCATGCTACATGGTTTAACCCAGGTAATTTTGCCTTCCCATTTGGAACCGGCGAAATTATTTGTGGTTGGGGGTAATTTTGTTTTCCCAACAGGGATCCTTTAAATTACCCAAATTACGTGCCAGTGCGGGGTAAGCTTCCTGTCCCTTCCTTTTCGGGCCTTGCTTCCCTCCTGGCCACCTGGTATGGTTGTTGGTTATAACACTTCTTTCGGCATCCTAATGCCTAAATATTTTTATTGCTTCGAACGCGGGCTCGATTGCTAAGTGTCCAGCACGTTAAAGCTTTACGGCCTGTGCCTTTCCGCAAATCGTGCCTGTTGCAACGTTTGGGGCCTTAATTCCGGCGCGTTGGCTTCCCTTGTAATGTTACAAAAAATAAGTTTCGATATTAAATACCGCGGCGGGAACGCTAAATCGTCCAGGATTAATGTTTCGCTGGATTGGGCTATCCGCAAGGCCGTCAAACTTGCTTAAGGAGCTATTGGCACCAGAGACAACGGCGTCGCGCGCCCCCTTCGACGGCCCGCGAAATGGCTAATGAAATGTACCCGGATGGAACCATTGCCGCTACGTCGTTAAAAAACGGGTTTTCGAGCTTGTCCTGGTCTCTGCCGTCAATCAGCTTCGGCAATGGACCGTTTTAACGCTAGAGCGGTATATCGAAAGGGGGATCCGGAAGTAAAAAACGAAGTGGATGCTTTGGTAAAACGAGCCCCAAAAAAGGCATATTTTAACTTTATTTTTAAAAACCTGCACGTTATGCTAATCGATAAAAGCAAAAACGGGGGCGCGGCTTAAAGGATAAGCGTCGCAAAAATGAATTTAAAAAATCGGTTGGAAAGCAAACCAGTAATGGAAAGTATTATATTTAAATAGCTTTTTATATATAGCAATTACGGTGTAAAAAACAGGAAAACAAAGCGAAAGGTGCCCAAAGGAAAAAACCTCCGCAATACCATGGTACTTTTAAAAGTTGCACTTTTTAACGCTTTTTTGCTTGCTAGCCTTGCTATGCTATTCGACCAATACAAAAAAACGATCGCATCGCCGCTGGATAACCTTTACTTATTCCTTAATGTCCCGGAAAAAAAAATAGGCTAATCCGGCTTTTTTACCTTTCTTTCCGCGAATTTTTTTTGGATTTACAAAAATGTTCCAATACAACGTTTTGCATTAACGCCAAAAAGGCATACCGATACCTATTCGAATGCTATTTAGGAATTATGTTTAATTGCTTTTACCAAAATATGTGTAGCTTTGAACGGCCAGGAACCCGAATCGGCGGCGTTTTCAAGGTCGAACGTAAATAAAAATGTTCTTTTTGCCGTCCAAAGCAATTTCTTCGGGTCGAAATCGGCGGTTAAAAAGGATTCCAGCACCGTTATATACATTTGGTCCAATGCCGTTCTTGCCTTGGCAAGCAAGCGCTCGGTGGACGCTAAATAAGCAAACCGTTTGCTACAAAAAGCGTAGCTAACGAAGCAATTTCCATATGGTTAACTATAAGCCCTGTAAATACAATACGATATACTGGAACTTCCTAAAAATGAAACACGAAAAGGACCGTACGTGCAACAATTATTTGTTATGCGCTACCTCCACCTTTAACAGCCCGTTTCTTTACCTTATTAAAGGATGGTTTGTCGTATTTTGATTCCGCACTTGCCGGTTGTTTGTCCTTTTTAATTGGGTGCGGCGTGGGCGTGCTGTCCTTTTGGGTTTTAAAATTCGATAGCAACGCTGTTGCTTAATACAACGCTAAACCGGCTGTTATACCGATCCGATAACAACTTTTAAAGCGTATTATCCGTTATCGAGCCAACCAACTATGCCGATTTACTTTTAGCCAATACCTTTCCAACGTCGAAAAGGTCGGCAAAAGTTGTAACCATTACTTAATCGGTATTATCGTCGGCAATAACCTCCTTAACAATGTGTATCTTTTGGGAAAAAACTTGGTTGGATGCCTTTTTGCACATTTCCAAACACTGTTTGGAAATGTTAATATCTTTTTGCAATCGCAATCTTTGTTGGTCGCGCTCGAAGCCGTTGCTCGATACTGTACAATCGAGGCTTTTTTAAAGGCGGTGTATCGTCGCTGCGATTTTGTTTCGGCTTTTATTTAGCGTTTGCTTTGTTATAAATTCCGCTTCGAACGGGTTCCGCACAACATTGGCAGTGCTTAAAGTCGCCCCTTTTAGCCATGGATTTTGCCGGTTTTGTAAGGATTCAAAGTAGGACCTAGCGTTTTTACAAATGCAAAAACATTGTTTGGTTACGTTTCTTTCATCATGCAAATCGACGCTCGTTTCTACGCCCAACGTCCCGTTTGCGGTAATACGCGCCAGTTTTTCGTTAATGCGTTTAAAGCGCATTTCGAAATTGTAAGCCGTATCCTTAATCATTTTATCGTAACTTTCGAAAACCCGATAATTTAGTTCGAAATGGTGCTTTAAAAAAAGTACGAAATTTTGGGGAAATAAAGCAAACGATTAACATGGTAATAGCACCCAGCCCAATTGTAATTATTAATTTGTGCCCCGTAAAAGTATCAATAAAGCCATTAATATCGTTTCGCATAAATTTTATTTTCGCCCAATTTCTTCGTGCAAAGGATGGAGACTTTTAAAAGGGTGCTAGGGGAAAAGCATCCTTCGACGCTAATTAGCATGGGAATTTTGGCGTCGATGTATTGGAACCAAAGCCGGTAAAAAAAAGCTAAATTGCTGGGGGTGCAGGTAATGGAAACAAAAAAAAGGATGTTGGGGGAGGAGCATTTTTCGACGCTAACCAGCATAAACAATATCGCTTCCGCTCCGTCGAATGTTGATTAAATTAGGTACACGTCGATTTTGCGCTAATTAAGTCGCTTCGTATTTAAAATTATAATTTTTTGCGGCCTAAAACTGCACATTGTTGCTACCCGATTTATTAACGTACTTATTGCAGCGTAAACGTTTGGCAACTGGATTTTTTGCTGCCAAACAAATAGTGTTGCAAAGTAAAGGCGCATGTAATAAACCGTTTGGCTTAATTTCTATTTCTAAAAAACCGTAAAAAAATGCTGTTAAAAGTGGGAAACCCTCTGGCTTTATATACACGGGTGCGCTGCAAGGGTAAAGGCCTTTCTTGGCGTCGCCGGGTGCTTTGTAACACGTTATAAAGCACCCGTAACGCCGGCGAAGGTCGTAATACTTGGTCCCGCACGGGCATCGCTAGGGGTATCCGCTCCTTTGCGACAAAAAGCTACCGTAAATACCAAGCTATACTAGGGGTTTTCCCTCCCACATAAATGGCAGCTTTCGGTGCACCACTGTTCATTTTCAGGAAAACATTGGACTTATGCCTACTTTTTTAGCTAGGCTTTGTGCCATAAAGGCTATCGCGCGTCCTTGCTTATTACCTACCTACCTGCTTGCCTGCCTATATAAGCCATCATTCTTTGCAAACATCCAACACGTAGCTTTTTAAGCTTGCTGCCAGGTTCCATCTCCCTATACGGCTTTTTCGCCTCGTCGCCAGGTTCAGCCCTCGAAAGTCTGCCACCGAGCCACCGGCAAAACCTCAACAAACTTTTGCCACACAGCAAAATCCTTACGCTGCCGAACATCAAGATTTGGATAACCCTGCACAGAACACAATCAGCCACGACAACGCTATCGAGGCTATCATCGACTTCTTCGTAATACCCTGGCCCGGCGTCTATTTCCGTTTATCTCCTCCGTTTACCAAGCAGCGGTTCCAACATAATGCTTTGTAATACTGATGCCCAGCTGCAATATTGATGCCCAGCTGTGATACTGATTCCCAGCTGTGATACTGATTCCCAGCTGTGATACTGATGCCCAGCTGCAATATTAATGCCTGTAATTAATGACTCGAAGTAACAAATGCTCCCACTTCTTTCCCGACGTGACACAACATTAGTGCAGTGTTGTGCTGTCAAAGACAGGCGCCAATCCCAGCGAGGAACTCTCATTTTACCATTTTCAGATGAGTCCACGTTGGACTACCGTAGTTACGGGATCTCCACGGAAGCACAACAGCTGACCTCATTGGGTTGGACACGTCGGCGGCCGGACTGTCAGATCCTACTGTACATCAGACCGCATTTCTTGTTTGAGGTTCACAGACCTTGCCTGGTTGGGACACAAGGCACATTTCGAGGGCGTGAGTTCCTGGCGCCTATGCCAGAACTGAGGCTGTAACTGGCCTCGGCTTCGTTCGGTTGAATTTGCCGTGCAGAAGCCACGGGAAGTCTTTTACCAAATTTAACAGCGACGCCAGAACCACCAGCCCAAAGACACCGAGGGGGCCAAGAATAGCAAAAATAGAAAACCCGTACGAAGCGGCAATAAAGTTTGGATCCTTTTTGAGCTGCTCGGTGGCCAGCCCGACCTGCATCGCCTTCAGCACCAAGGCAACGAAAACGGTCGTGGTAGCCAACCACGTGAGATTGCCACGGGACACTACCGCGCCGTCGCCGAGTCCACGCCGCCTCCCCGTCCGGCACCATCTTCTCTCCAACAAACCCCATGGTTACACCACACGGGCAGTTCCGCAAACTCGTCAGAATTCCGCCACAATGTGGACAGGGTCCTTAGGTCGGAGGTTGAACCTCTCTACGTTGGGGTTTCTGACTTCTGTGAAAAAAATTTCGGGCCTGTGGCAGGTCTACCCGCAGCGTCTGCGGCCATCTTGAAGAAGTGCACGGAAGACAGCAGTCCACTCTTCGGCAACAAAGGGTGGCGGGGTGGCCGGCAGGGGCCAAAGAGAGCGACGTGCTGGCATTTGCAGAAGATTACAGGCCGAACCAACGCGTCGACGAAGACCACTGGCGCAGCCTAATAAGCCAGTCCAGGTTTAACAGCAGAGCGGAAGCTGGACGTCGGCTTGGTGGACGACTCCGAGGCCGGAAAAGACTGGAAATGTCACTGGTCGCAGATCCTCGTGCCTGGAGAGCTAAAAAGCAACCCTTCTGCAGATACAGCCTCAAAGGCATGGTTCGATCTGGCGACGTACGCAAGAGAAGTGCTCGCAGTTCAGGACACCCGCCGCTTTGTTTTGGGCTTCACTCTCTGCGGGCGTCTTCTGAGGGTATGGGCGTTTGATCGACTGGGTGGCATCGCATCCGAACGATTTGGCATCAGCAAAGACGGGCTGCAGTTCGTATCCACGATGCTCGGGTTTTTGCGGACGAATGAGGAGCTTGGCTTCGCACTAGCAGGATGCACTTTTCCTATAACGCAACTTCAGGTAGCCCACCTGCTTCAGCGGTGCACAGCCATTTCGCATGCGCACACAAACCCGCACGCCTCTTTTGAGCCTCAGGAAACGGTCCGATGATGGCGCACGATGCGCAGGACGAAATGTTGCAAAACTTGAGCGCAATTTTACGCGCACCACCCATCTCTATGCTGCGCGCTCGCCTCTCTTTCCCATACTTGCATGGGACGACGTCAAGGGCGGTAGAAATCCAGGCCATGGACCCCAGGACGGAGGTGATATCAAACACCCGATGGCCGGAGAGATGCAGAGATGCAGAGGCGCATTTGGGAACATCCGCCACCCAGTGTTGTGCCACGTCCTGGGCCATCTTCTTACCTATGAAACTGGCGCCAATGCTGAAAACGCCCGGAACTTGCGGGGCCGTCCTCCGTACATTTAGTATCCTACCGTAAGCGTCAGGACCTGCCTACATGTGGCCGAGGGCGTATCAGGTGCTACCATAACGCTAGGCGCCCCGACAGCGCGTCCAGAGCCTGTGCCAGGACGGTGGCAGCGTACCCAGCATTCGCGCTCTCCGGCTAGTCGGCTTTTGGCCTGTTTGGTTCTGTCCCTGTGACTTCAAGATACTTTTGTGCACTCCTTTTCGATGACTCCATTTCTAGAACAAGGGGTCCGGGAGACGGCACTAATCCTCCCAACAATCTTTCCCCAACCAACCACAAAAGCTCGGGCCGCCCTGGACAGTGACTCGGCCGGGTCGGTCCTCGATAGATACCGGGCCTCGATAAGTGGTCCTGGCTCAAGTCGATCCTTATAGAGTATCGGGATACCCAAGAAGCCAGCAGTTGTTAGGAGTAAGCTGATGAACCGCGAGCTGGTCCCCGTTGCGGGGTCCCCAGAAGAGAAGAATGCTCACGCCGCGGCCAGAGAGGCAGTCGGGCTTTCTCGGGAGCTCGATGCATGATTGGTCACCTTATCACAATGTTGCGGGTCGACCGCCAGCCGACGGTCAAAGTCGCCGCCCTTCCCCAAGGATGGGCTATAGCTTGCCAAGCTCAAGTCCTGGCCAGCCATCTGCGCCATCCGGACGCGGACTGGGCGTACTTTTCCAGTAGTCCGTAGGCCTCGTTTGGCGCCGTGATGCCCGTGCTGCGGCCGGCTGGCCAGGTGATACAAGACCGCGGGATGTCTCCCGCTTGCCGCGATGCGCCACATCACACCGGACCCCACGAGTCGGGGGACGTTTGGCAGCGGCAGCGGTGGACGCTATTACGGGCTGCGTGAAGTCGTCCATGGAGGTATCCAGCGCCGTGATGGCCGTAAGAGCAGCGTCCTGCTAATCCGCCTCGGAAACTGCCACGCCGGGTTGTTCCCGAGCGCGCCGGCGGGTTGCGGGATAGGCCGAGGACACAGTATGCGTATGCTGCATGGTTCCAATAACCGTGCCATGGACCTTCAACGTGCCGGCAGAGGTCATGGATTGGATTTGGGGGAACAACACCACTTTCGCAACGAACGATCAACGTGGCGCGCATGGAAGCAGACCCACTTCAACGATACCTAATCCGCTTCCCCGGACCCTACCGACACCGTTAAGCGTATAGTGCCTCTCCGGCAGATAGTATTTGCACGACGCAGAGTTTATGTTTCTGGAGGTGTAGCGCATCCATCCGTCGCTTGCGAATAACCCCGCTGATAATCCCTCGCCTCCCTCGCCAGCTAGATGACCGTTGCGAGGCGCCGTCGTAGTTGGGTAAGCCAGTCTCCTACGCCTTATATTCTAGCTCCTGACTAAGTATCCCGTCTTCACGCGCTTATTGCCCCGAAAATCCGCGCCGACCATGTCAAGTCGGCCTGTCGGAGCCCGAGGGTAATACTCGTAGGGCACCCTGCCGTCAACCTCACCACTTCTCATTGCAAGCGTATGAGCTTATTACCCCAATCACAAAGGAGTATTTTTTATCTCAAAATTCATTGTAGCTTTGGATTAAAAACAAACAAATACGGTGACTGAAAAGGCAAATACCACATAACTCCAATATCAAACGTCAAAGTGAACATAAGGAACCCAGAGCGGCCGCCTCGTCTCCGACCCCTGGCTTACTTCAGCGTCCCCTTGCCGCTCCCGACAGCCATGACCTTCCACCCCCGGATTCCTCGCCGTCCAACCACTGGTCTCGGAGCGTCCTCATCGCCCGGTGAAGCCCCCGGCTTACCGCTCCATCCCCCATCCTTTCATCCCGCAGAAACTCGTACGTCATCCCCCCCATATCCACACAAAGTCCGTCATCCACGCTCCAAAGCGTGCCGACCACATGACGGAACCCCGCCAGCTGGCAAGCATTGGCCAGATGAATGCTCTCGTCAACAGAATCCTCATTCAGGATCTGACCAGTCCCGCACGCCGAAAGGTAGGCGAGGAACGGCGGCTTCGAGGTAAGGTTGGTCTCTAGTAAACTTGCCACCGTGAATGGCCCCAGATCCCAGTCATCGAGGAGCAACTGGCTCTGCAGCGGTTCTGTAGGATGCGTGCTGCCGTGGCCGGCAAAGTGGAACATCTGACAGGCCTCCAGGGCCGACGAAATATCGGCCTTGTACGGTCGAGGACGGTCATGCGACAATCCCATTTCCTTGCAAACAGATACCACCGCATCAACTTCGTCGTCCGCATATCTGAGGGGTTGTTGTCCTGGCGTGTTCTGCATGGCAACGATAACGGCGTTTCGGGACTCTCCGGCTGCTGGTGCTTGGTGTGGCCGTCGCCGACTGTGTATGATCGCCTTGACGGACGAGGCGTACGATGATACGACCCTGTCGACCGCCGTCTCGCCGGTGCGCCTGAGATGGTGTCCCGCTGCATGAAGTGGAAACCGGGTCAGCGTGCCGGTAGGAACCCACCACACGTGCGGCCACTGACTGTCCGACGGAGGCCCAGTGAAGCCTAGGGCATCAAGAACGGGGCAGACGATGGCATCCCAAAGCCATCCAAGCGTATCGGGAGTTTCAAGTTCCCGGGTATGGTCGTTGAGGCCGTCTCGGGAGAGGCGTGGCAGCTCCAGCAGTCGGATGCCGGAGCGAACGCCAGATCCTGCATCCGACTGTTGAATGACCAAAGCATCGCAGCGATACAAACTGACGTTCAGGACGACGATCGGGCCGTGCCGTGCAGCCTCTAGCATGTCGGCTTCTGACGCGGAGAGGAGAAATCGCTCGAAACTAGACTTGGAACGGATTGTTTCGATGAGGCCGGAAAGCTGGGGCCCAGCGTCGCGGTGCCGGTCGCTTTCCGTCTCGGCGGCCCCTGTAGGACGCTCGGCCGTAGCAAGGGAGCCTGCCGGCGCGGGCGCGTTTAGTAGATCTCGCAGATCAATAAAGGAACGCGCCAGTTCGGGATGCTCGCGTTCGAGAGCGGCAAGGTCGGATTGCTCGAAAAAGGCTCCCGCGATGACACCACGACCAGTTTCAAGCAGTTCGATGGCAGCAGCAGGACCTCTGCTGGCATGAAGAGCGATGGCTGCGGCGTCCGATGATAGTCCAACGGCCGCAGAGAGGAGGTGCCGTTTGTCCGAGTTTTGCAGAGAACGAGGAGTCAAGAGGGGAATCAAGTCGATTGTTGTTTTGGCGATGGCATATGCTTGTTCATCTTTAAGGATGGCTGGGGATGATAGAAGATGGCGTCCGGCTGCGACACGCACGCTCACAACGGAAGCGGGCTGCTGCAAGGCAGCGACGAGGAATTCCCTGGCTTCCTCGAGGTCAGCCATCACTCCAGTCCGTAAGTCATAGAGCGCATGTACAAGTGCGGGTGGAACGGATGCGAGAAGGCATATGGCACGCTTAACCATCTAAATGCGCATGTGACGATGCAGTCTCACGGCCAGAAGCGCACTCCTGAAGGTAAGGAAACTCGATGCCTACCCCCTTTTTTTCGTGCAAACACGAGCGAGCTTGAAACCAAGACAACCGAGACCGTCCCACTCGAACCATGACGTGGTATCGTGGGACTTGGCTCGATGGCAGCATGCGCCTTGTTGTTTAAGCCGTTGCGTGCCGCGTGCGCCGTCTGTGCACTTGGCCACTAATTAGCGGTTACGATGGTCGATCAAGCTACCGAGATCACCACAAAGGACGGGCTCGTGCATCCACAAGCAGATCCACATCGTCACAAGTGCTCGCAAACTCGCGCATGCGCACCACACAACAGGGTAAACAGACTGACAAAACTGGATTACTACAGAGTTCAAAGAGATCCGCAAGGAGCGGAAGGCCCGCAAAAAGGAGGAGGAGGCCAACCGCAAGGCCGAGAAGGAGCGGCAGAGGCAGGCAGCGCGGCGGCGTCGCAAAACGGCTCCAACGAGCCGCAAGCCGGGTCCGAAGCACCGCAGCCATCGAACGGTTATGCCGGGGCCCGCGGGGCTTTCCAGTTCCCTCCCATCGGCTACCAGTCCGGTCAGTACCCAGCACCGGGGTCTGCCGGCGTTCAACAGCCATTGTCGGAATACAACGCGAACTATATGCACACCAACTACCAGCCGACATTTCCCGCGGGACCAGCCGTCGTCGACTTGTGATCGCGCCCCCGGTGGACAAGGGTCTGGACTGCGCCGGCTGGTTGATCGTCGTCCAACGCCCGCAGGCACCGCCACACCGCCTCGTCGTTAAACTCGCGTCCTTTGGCCGCTGTCTCTCGCCGGTTGCATCGTGTCGCCCCCGGGCCACTGCTGCAGGAACCTTACTGTCCTGCACGAGCACCGAGACTCCCAGCCTGCCCTATTTCCTGTGACGGGAAATCTCGAGCACGGAATCTGCAAGCTATAACCCCTTTGCCCTTGTGCTCTCGAGCCGTCTGCTGCAGTTTCTTGAACCCCGCGTCGTGAAAGCCTCGGATCTGTCCGGAGTCCGCGACACGGACATGTGGGTATCCGCCCTCGGATTCTCCGTCTCTTCGTTTTCATCCCGTTTCTGCGCCCAGGCCCGTCGTCTTGACGCGCATTGCGGACTGGCCAACAATCACTAGGCGAGGTGAGCTCTAACAACCCGCAGTGCCGGAGGCTTCCAGCGCGCCATTCGTTTCACTCCGTACCTGCACGACTTCTGTGGAGGGAGGCGGGCATGCGGCATAAAGAAACTGTTTTAACCCACGGCAGGGCGGTATAAACAGGGGATCAGGAACGCGTTTGGCCCAGGTGGCAGCGGGCGCGACTTGGGCTGACGGCGCGTTCCGCCTACACTTTCACGGACGCGTGGTGCCCCGGGAGCGACTCAGACAGCGCACATGCGCAGGTGCAGAGCACTCCTCCTCCACCATTTGATTTCGGCTGACTCCAGTCATGGGCGCCGTGCGGAGGTCTCCCCACACGCCCTAAAGGGCTGGCAGGTGCGTCTATGGGGACGACATTGCGGCCCTTCTGCAGTGTGATCCTGGCTTCATGTCACAAAGCGGGGCCAGAATATCGCGCAGGGATTGCCAATAGAATCCACTTTCAACCGCATCCCAGAAAGCTGTGTCTGAGGTTTCAGTGCAACCTTTTCACACCACACCCGGGGCGGCGTGCCAGTGAACAGGCAGCCGTGGCCAATGGAACGGCGTATTAACCGCAGCACCAGACGCTCTCCCAACTGAGCTATATGCCGGAAATGGTGGGAATACGCTTATATGTGGATCCCGCTTATTGGTCAACTACGAGCTGCTGCTCCACTCGTCCTTGACGGTGCGGGGCTGACATTGTGGGGAAAGTGGCCATCTAGGATAGCTGGACGTCATATTTCCTCGTCTCCTTGATGCCAGTGGAAAGGAAAAAGGAAAAGGGATGCCAGGGTATACAAGACAAAGTGAAGATAAAGTCTAGGAGGAGGCTATACACTGCTGAGGATAAAGGAAAAGGTGAGGAGGACTCCCAGGGAGAGGGAGGGCGGATACCTGACGGGTGTAATCCGCCGGACAAGATGGCGAGTCTACCAACCGCACTTACATCTGCAATGATCCAGGCATTTACCTACCAACTGTCTTCTAATTGCAGACGAGACCGGACATTGATAGCCAGCCTTCCGCAGTCGTAATCTCTCTTCGGCAGAGTGGAGCTCTTCATGCAACGCCCCAAGCGTGTTGGCGACTTGCTCAGATAGTGCAGCTGTCAGCTGTTAGTTAATTAGCGTTCATGTTCCTTGATTGTGTTGGAATGACCCAGACCCGTGATCGCTTCCGGCAGAAGTGCCAGCGCCTCATACTTTTCCCACACGGAAAAGAAGGTAGGTGGTAGATGCTTCGCTGCCTTGGCAGCCATGGCAGAGAGGCCTGGTAAACGTAAAGTGCCGAGTCTTGCAAGGAGAGATTTTCCAAGAGATATATATGAGAAGGCTATCCGGGCTCGGCTGCGGTCGGTTGGGGGGGGGGGGGGGGGGG